TAATCTAGGTTATGGGTAAAGAAATAAATTTGTAAATAAATTTAGGTCTTGTAAATACAAAGTGCTTCATTAGGTAGTACATAAAGCCATTTTTCTGTGTTAGACTGGACATTCACTTTTCCAAGAGATAGGACATAGCTGGAAAGGCTCAAATGAAATATATGTTCTTTCCAAGTGGTGAGATTCAGACCTTCCAAAAACAGCTTTGCTGAAATAATCAGCACTACACATCAGACATAACAGTTGGAGATTGAATGTATTCCTCCATTTAAAATGTGACAGTTTTCACTTGTGGTATTACCCATTTCTTGTCCGGCAAAGATTTGTCCTTACTAAAAGTTGAATTTAGCATTACATATATATTCATTGTGACAGTTCCTCGGCACTTCTGCAAAAGATGAGAAAACTGCTTTTATCCAGTGGTATTTCTGAATGAAGTGAAAGAAAAGAAATATTCAGGAACCCTCCTGCTTATTTTATTTCTCTCTGATATACCTTTTTGAAAAAAACAAATTGACCATTGAATCCTAAAGTATCCCTTGTGCCACAGTATCTGTTAGCCTTTAATTGCAGGATTAAATTTGCTTTCCACTATAGACCAATATAATACATTTTTATAAGGCTAATAGATTTTTTTAAATATTTTAAGCAGCTTAGATACATATTCTGAATGTATTTGCCAAATATTTTTTCCACTTTGTTATACGTGGTTCTTTTTCTCTTCAGGATCACAGAGGTTTGTTTGTTTTTTTAATAGAATTATTACTCTTGTGTTGTAGTCAAAGTTAGTCACCTATGTTTTAACCACCTGTGTTCTTTTTCTCTGCCTGCACCATACCATCTAAAAGCAGAGATCTACTTTAAAAAAAAAAAAAAAAACAAAAAATACACATAATATAAGGTAGCTTCACAATAGGGATTTTGAATATAAAATATTATAGCACTTTTAATGCTGCTTCTACTGTTTCTCCTTCTACCATGTTTAAAGAGAGCATAATGTGTTATACTATTTTAATTAAGAGAGATTTCTGGAACTTATTTTTTGGTTGTATTTCATTAAAAAAAAAAAAAAATCTGTGCCAATAACTGACATTTTTAACATGTGCTTGTGCTGGTTTGCATTTCCCCTCCTTGTTCCTTGGTTTGGTCTGTAACGATCGTAGATATTTTGGGTTGTTTTTTTTTTTCATCTCATACTAACATGTCCTTTCTGTTCTTTCTCTAAAGCACCTACTACTCTTGCATTGCAATACTATATATTTTCATGGTGTTTTTTGGTCTAACTTCTTAGTGGTAGGTGAGAAATCCATCAGCTTCCACTCTTGCTTTGAGGGAAAAGAAAACTAAATTTCTAGTGCACTTACAGTTGCAGTGGAAGGTTTCAAAATGCATTTGAAACACTGAGGATGGCTTCCTGCCAAAAATCTCATAAAGTTTCATATTTAAATTACTTTCATGGTATGTTGTTGGCAATATCAAAATATACTTGTTGAAATGTAAACTTAAATTATTACTAAGTGCTGACAAGATTTAATAACCCTTTTCTAAAACTCCTTGTCATGGGATTCTGCAGAGCAATAATACAAACCCTGTAAGCCCTGTGTAACATAGCATGACTCTATTACCTTTTACAGTGTTTAACCAGAGGGAAAAAAAGGCAATGAATTTTATCAGACTTTAAAGGGCTGTAACCAGTAACAGCAAAAAAATCATCAAAAACCCTTCAGTCCAGAAGATGCAAGAATTGAAAAAACAAAAAACTCATTATCAGGACTATTTCTTATGACCTACTGAAAGAGCTGCATCTTAGAGAATTTGTGGGGTTTACTTAGTTTTGCTGGGGCTTGCAAATTTTCAATTCAGTTGCAACAAATACTTGTGTTTACTTTGAATAAAACACAGACTATCTGCAAATAAACTGTAATACTATAAATGTTTGACTGTCAGAATTACTTAAAATTAGATTTACAACCAACTGTCCAGTTCCCTTTAGCACAGTTGTGTAGAAAAATAATTTGCTTCAATCATTACAGTAGTCAGAGGTTGAAATAACTTGCATGGTTGTTACTTATGAGGAATATTTGCTATAAGTACTAAGTTCTCCACGCCCTCCCCCCCCCACACCCCACAATGCCCCTGCCATTTAGTTAGTTTGAAAGGCAGCTGTGACCCCAGTATAGAAGCTACAGGACTCTTTCACTGCTGGGTTTGAAGGACCTTCTGCTTCTCCTAAGGCCCTTAGAGTGTATTTCAAGTCTAATCCCCTTCTCTTTCAGTTCTGGCTGGATTATAGCACACTGTCTCCTGTGATTACTCATTTATCCTCATGCCTGAGGAAACTCAAGTTTTCTGTATCTAGTTTGTGTGTCATATTATCCGCCTGTAATCCATACCCATACCAGAGGCATTTTTTAATAGTAATAGGCTTGTTTACGGAGGATGAAGAAGAATACATGCCAGTAAAATGATGCTAAAACCACATTAGTGCTTTTAAGTAATTTTTCACTTGATTTGTTGTTTTTGTAGGTTTTTTTTCTTTAAACTACAAGAGAAGGACTAGCTGTCAATGTTGAGCTCTAGTCATTAAATGCTATGAAATGAAAAATTAACCTGCATTATTTTCCCAAAAAGTATTTTTTAATCACAGTGGCATTTGATCAGGTAAGGTGACTGAGGTTTGCAGAAGTAGACAATTATGAAATATTTCTTTTCATAAGGAACGGATATCAGGGTTAGTTTCACAGCTGCAACTGTGTGAAGCCCTGTTAGACACATGCAAAGTTTGTATGTGCAATGAAGCCCCAGTAAAAATGCTTTTTTGATGAGCAGATCAAATAGCAGTTCCCTCCATGAAGGAAGTGGATGACTTCTCCCCTCCTCTCTTTCCGCAAATGGCTTTCATGTTAAGGTTAGCAAGAAAATAATTTTGAAAAAAATCCAACTAGAACAATTTGCCACTGTTGTATCAGGTTTTTCATTTCTATGTGCAAAAAAATCTCTTACCAAAACCATTGTAAATAGAGCAGTCTTTACTGAAATCTTTAAAATGGTGAATAATTTCAATCCAATTATGTAATCAATAATAACATGTTCATTTTAGGGTAAAAAAAAAAACTGCAAACAGCTCTTAAATGAATAGCTGAGCATTACTCTGCTTTGTGCTAACACAACAATACAAGAAGCTAAGTCTTTAGTCCTCCTAAAAACATCATCATTTAAATGGTGTTTTCAGCAGCCTTCTCGTAATACTGGATGTTAAAAATCACACTAAGAGAAACTTTCTGATAAAGCACTAGAGAAGAATATCTGTTCTGTGACTTGAGCAAACTGAAGGAAGAGTTATTTGTAATCTGTATTATTCTGTATTTGTATTTCATCAGATAAGATTGGAAGCATGGGCACAAGCTGTTACTAGAACATCGCATGCATAATATCTCACCTCGTATCTCCTGCCTAAATCAGATGCAAGTCACACATTAAGCTCTTCCCCTATTCGGTCCCGAGTATTTGATATAATAAATAAGGCACAGCAAAATCTATGCAGTTGACAATACTACCTGTCCTGTTATCACAGTTACATTGTTTAAGGTAAAAATTATTATGGATTACCATATATTTGCAAAGTAGCAGAAAGAAATACTAACAGGAATATTTATAGCATATTGTGTATTAAACTATTTTAGGCTGATTATTTACAGCGTAAGAATGCAATTATAATGGTTATGTTAAAAGCTTCTAGGTACTATTTTTATCATATGCATGGAACTTTTTGTGTAACAGAACAGCTGTAAAATGAAAGATAATTCTGATCATGGAAAATCTGCCTAGGCATTATGAAAGTATTGTAAATCTTAATGTGAAAAGTCAGGAGAAAAGTATTTTCCAAACGTTTCATAGACTTACAGTTTTTAAAATTAATTTGAACTAAGCCTGGAGAAGTTGCTTTTTGACGTATTTGTTTCTGTTGCATAGTTTTATGGTTATCCACAATAATTGAAGATATGGGGTCTGTAGGAGTCCTGTTTTCTGTCTAATGTCCATCTCATTTTGAACTAGTAAATAAAGAAGCCTACCAGTATTTAGATTTTTCCAGTTAGGAACCCATATCCAAAACTGGTCTGTATGCACCCTTACTGTCTGTTGCTTCTCAGGCTGAAGTATGAGGGAGGGAAGAAACTTTATTTTGCTGTTAAAGAAGATGTATTTTAAAATCTAGATATCATCTAGCAATGTACTGGCAAAAGTGTTAGAAAACTAAATTCACAGTAACCAATCTGTTATATTCCAAAGAAAAAATAAGTTAACTTATTTCAAAATTAAACAGATTTTGCAGCAATACTTTTCCAGAGTTCAAAAAAATTTCTCAAATGTCAGTATATACCCAGCTGAATAGTTGTAGAGGAGATAATAGATTCCTGTTTCCCTTCTTAACAACAAGACATATATTTGTCTTTGTGGTAGCTCTTGGAGACCGACCAGCAAAGAGCAAAGACAATTTTTTCTTTCTACAGAGTACCTTGGCTGTACCTCAATGAGACAGGCATTACACAGAAGATGCCTTGTAGAAATTTGAGGCCTGCATGGTGATTGTTTACACAAACTTTGTTTCAGGGCAAACCAGAAGCTAAAGTAGCTACAGTAGACATTTAGAAAAAATAGTACTCTTATGAATTGAGATTAAAATATAGTGAGTTTTAAAATGGTAATTTTAGAGCTCTTCCTGCGCTGTGCAGAGCTCCCCTTAACAAAAAACAAAAGAGAAAAAAAATCACATCAGGGTAACAGTAATAAGCAAAACTTACTAGGTTCAAATATTCAGTATATCATTTGACTTGAAAAGTTAAATGCATTCAAGGATTACAATCAATCATTTGTGTTCTCCTAGGTTTCTTTTTGATGCTTAATCTGTATATGGGAATGATTATAACAGAGAATGTGTTCTGCCTATGCTGAATGTTAGCAAACCTTTTTCACAATAATGTAATCATTTAACTGATTAGGATAATGCTCAGATGATCAGAGAAGTAGAAGTGGATAAAGTGACAGTGCTGGAAAGAAAACAAGTTGAAGCAATCAAGAAGCTCTGGGAAGACTCAGGAATTCAAGAGTGCTATGACAGACGGAGGGAATACCAGCTATCAGATTCTGCTAAGTAGTAAGTACACTGCCTCATTATAAGGGCAATCCAGACTTCACAGAAGTTACCAAAGAAAGAGATAGGTTTGCTCTGATTTTATGGTCGATACCTGTGTTAGCCTGAGATAAACAACATATTTTTAAGCCAGAGTAATAAAACAAACTAATTTTTGCCTTTCTGAACATACTGAAACCATTAGCTTTCCCAGTTCTGAGGTCAACACAGCTGGTACATAACTAAGTTTCCCTTGGGGAAAATCACGAAGAACAGCTGTACAAAATACACTGACAACAAGCAGGCAGGTCAGACAGCTCATAGTTACGTGCAAAGCTTAGGATATAAATAAGAATGAAGATATGCCCCTCCCCCAGCTTTCCCTGAATTTCAATTTTGAAAAAGACTGCTTCAGAGAGAGCAGAAAATGACTCTGCTGTGTCTGCAAAGGATGGGTTGAGAAGTAACAGGTTTAAATTTCAGCAAAGAAAATTTAGATTAGGCATTTATGGTTACACTTACAATCTGTTCCTGGGTCTTCCGCCTAATCACGCTTGACAGTGTTAGTCTGTTCTAACTAATCCTGCCTTGGAGCAGAAGGATTTCACCTAATCATTTATTCTAGACTCACTTTCTATGAAATCAGCCACAACTGAGAATTATATTTTTATTTTAAATGTGAGTACCTCTTCCTTTTACTGTTAATTACAGTGAGGCTTGAATAACAATTTGCTACATTGTCAGGGAGGAGGAATTTTCTTATTCATAAGAGAAATTGAGTTTCTGAATGGATAAGTGGTACACGTCTGTCTGTGTTTGGAGAATTTTTGATTTTGGTGTCCACATGTGAGGGATGGTAGGGCAGAAAGGGAAGACTGCATTGACGCTCTACCTCATTTGCTGAAGAGTTTTTCTTGATAAAGGAAGAGGAAGACTTGTGCTACAACCCCTCCTATGATTTGGAACATATTTTTTACACTTTGGGTGATCCACTCTTGCCATCTAGTGGTGAGCAGAGATATTGCAGACAGGAACAACTGGCATCAGGTGTGTGTGCCCGACTTGCACATACGCTGCTCATTTATTTAGGCACAAGATTGTCATCCTAGATTTTAATTCCAACTATGAAAAGCACAAGCAAAACTGAGGAGGGTAAAATTAGGAATGACTGTGTCGGCAGAGGAAAAGCTAAATGCATTATGTTTTACATAAAAATGTGTAAGGGTGAAGCATTCATATTTGCAGGGCTTTCCATTAATTATTTTTCTGAATTCTGTCCAACAAACTTTCACATTTTTGTGTGATATTAGTGTCTCAAATGAAATGAGGATAGTTCTGTTGGAAAATATTAGGGCTAGGATTAAGATTTATATTTATGTTCAAATCTCAATTCCGTTGTTTATTTTGGGGTAATAGCAAAGCTTACACAAAATTAAATTTCATCATTTTTTGGGTATGGGGCTGCTTTGTCTAGATAGTATTCAGGCAACATCGCTTTTGAGTGGTACTAGTCAGGCTGGAACAAAACAGAGGTCTCAGTAAAGGTTTTTACTGTTTTATGTCAGCAAAAAATTGCTCTAGGCCTTGCCCAACTGCATTCCTGTCCAGCTACTTTTGTGGGAACACGAGTGTGATTGATTGCTGACAGGTACCTTAGGTTTGAATCTGTATGATTAATTTATGATTGATAGTTCATTAATCTTGTTTCTTTTATACATTTAACTTTTCAGTTATCTTACTGATATTGATCGTATTGCTATGCCCTCATTTGTGCCAACTCAGCAAGATGTTCTTAGAGTCCGAGTGCCAACAACAGGAATTATTGAGTATCCTTTTGATTTAGAAAATATTATATTTAGGTAAGACTGAGCATGAAATTACTTTATATAAAACTGTATTATGAAAGTAGTTCACTTGTAACGTCACTTGTAAAACATCCTTGAAGCTTTTTGTATGTGCTGTCAGCCCTTCAGTGATTGAATTTAGTCTCCAAGTTCAATACAGTAACTTGCCAGGTGTTTCAAAACTTTCCTTTTGAGATCTACTGAAACTACATGAACAAAAACCTCTCTGAGTCCAAGCAGTCCAAGTACTATATTTTAAACTGGTAGTTTAATTAAAAAGGCAGAGGTGAGGGGTGCAGAGGGAAGGTATTTGAAATAATGTACAAGTTCCTATATGAGATCATAATCTTAATTCCATTTTGAGCCAACAGTTACTGCTGCAGCCCTTTGGAAGAGAGCCCTAACAGACCTGATAAAGCCACATAAAGTAGCGTACAACTACCCTATCTATCTGGCATTGGATAAGCTACTATAATAGTTGGGTTTCCTGATTTTATAAGGGAAAGCATATTTCTATATTCCCTTGCAGAATTCCCACTAGCATCATTAGAGATGTTTTTGCACCACACCATCCATTTTGTCATGAAATTGTCTGCAGTTAAACACAAAATCCATTGTGGTAACACATTATCAAAGCAGCATAACTGTGACTTTGTTTGTTTGTTTGTTTGTTTGTTTTTTCCTGGACATGTTGTAAGAAACGTTTAACCTGGATAAATTGTGAAAAAAAAAGTAAAAACTGTCAGCAAAATTATAGGAGCCTAATATGGAATGACGATACTTGTGAGCATTTTGATTGTTTTTAGTAGTGAGATGTATGTAAATGTGGCTACACTGATGATTTTTGTTTGTTTTTACACGAGGAACTAAATTGAACATACCCAAATCTGCCCTTGCTAAAGCTTTCAGCAGCACAGAAAGAACAACCATTACTGTGCCTCAAGATGGCTTATATGTTTTATGTATGTACACTAAACCACAGTGGAAGTTGTGGCACTTCAAGTGAATCAAGTGTGACTGTTTGTTAACATAAAAAATTAAGCTATATTCTTCATGGTTCAAACATCTCAAGTAGATGAGCTATTAGTTTTGGTATATTTGAAGCCTCTTAACGCTGACTCTCTTTCTGCTTAACAGGATGGTGGACGTAGGTGGCCAAAGGTCTGAAAGAAGGAAGTGGATTCATTGCTTTGAAAGTGTTACTTCTATCATTTTCTTAGTTGCATTAAGTGAATATGATCAAGTCTTGGCAGAATGTGACAATGAGGTAAGGAGTCGGAGTATTTAAATTAGGTACAGAAGATGATGTCTGCTTTTGTAAGAAAGACAGAATTCACATGCATTTTTATAAATGAATCTGCAAATTACTAGAATTACATTAAGAAGCTCATCAAGCAGTAAGTCCACAAAGCTGTATTAAGTTAGCAGCCTACCTGAAAAAGTGAACTCCGTCTTGAAAGACAAAATAAGATTTAAATGTTTTAAATCAACTAGGTACTCTTAAGCTATGTCTCAGAATGTTTGAGGATCTGAATATCAGCAATATTGCTAGACAAGTAAGACTGCTTCAATCATCTGTAATGAATGTTTTTTTAAATATTAACTCAACTATGTGTGATTCAAAAACCTAAACACTACAGAGTGGAGTAGGATGTAAAATACACACCGTATTGAAAAACTCACACTGCTTAAGAGGGAACTGGCTATGTGAAGAACTTTCATAATGGCAGCAGATTTATCCTCCTCTCTTGCACTCTTTCATCCGTTTCATAAAACCTCAGGAAATCTTTAGCAACGTAAGTGGATTGCCCTTACAAAACAGCTTATACAACAATTTTTTCCAGGCCTGCTCAACTGCATAAGTTAAAATATGTGGGGCACAAGCTAATTTTTAATTTAAACTTTTGGCTAGCTGATTATAAACTCTTTGAATGTGACTGACCTTAATAAAAATATGAAGCAGATTAAGCTTTTTTAAACTACCAGTTTCCAGGAAAATACTGGATATTAAAGCAACAGAACACACTGTTACGCTAGATTCTTTTTGTCACCTTGGTACATGCTGTACACAAAAGGAAAAGTTATGTAATATTGCAACATCAGTATATGGCTTCTTTTTTACTGAATCACTGCACTTTTAACTGGTACACATGCACAAAAAGCTCTAATTACTATTGAATATTTCGCACCTTTAAGGTACTATCCCATTTCAGTAGTTACGGGGTGAATTTTGTTCCTCCTTCAACCTATCTAAGTGCTGTTTCAGAATTAACATATGCACAGATTCAAGAGAACTGAGGTAACAATTTACCAGCTAGCTCCTTCCCAAGGTTTGAAAATGTAAAGATGACCTCTCCATCTGTTTTAGACTGCTGTTGTCAGCAACGGCCAGATGTTTTGGTGGCAGATGCAAAAAACAAAAGTAGGCAATTGGAGAAAAGCATGTTGATGGAACTACACTACTTTTGGTCGAGATTGCTTTATATCCTGAAGTATAAGGATGCCTTCAAGCATGCTCCTTAAACTCTTAAAACCTTTGAAAAAATCTAAGGTCCCCAAGCCCAAAGATCTGTTTGAACTATGAAAAGCACATCCTAACATTGTAGGTCCTGTTTAACATTTAAAGTTGATTCACCTGCTGGAGTGCCACAACATCTGCTGTAGTTGAGAATGAGTCTTCAAAGTTTCCTTTCCTCTTGTGATGCATAACAACTTTAGTTACTGCAAGCAATTTTCTTTTTCCTTCCTCAAGTCCTGGAAATTTTGCCATTTTCACCTTGGAAATTAGGAAATAAGATAACTAACAAACTCCAACATTTTTGTCCAGGCACTTCAACCAGTAATGTCTGAATTTGTTGTTCCTCATTAGCTAGCTCTCTTGAAAAGGACAGCATGACCATATTTTACTTTATTACTAATACAGATGAGTACATATGCTCTTGTCCTTTAGCTGTGTTAGAATATGCTACTATCAGATATTTGACCTGATAAACCTTGCTTCAGTTCTCACTGTGAGGTCAGCAGAGGCTTTCACTGAGCAGCCCTGGCTTGCTCACTAATTCATACAAGAATTCACATAATTTCTGTTACTGAGGCTTACTTTGAACTTCATGTTTCATCATGTTGTTCATAGTTGTGATGCAAAACCCTGTGAGCAAGTGCATATAAAACACCAAGAATAAGTCAGCCAGTGCACTGCAATTATGCTTAGTGAAAGTAAAGCTTTCTTTAAATGCTTGTTTGATATTATGATCTATAGTTCATGTGATTTGTATATGCTACTCTTTGGAGAGTGTAACTTCATACTGATTTTTGTACTTCTAGAATCGAATGGAAGAAAGCAAAGCCTTATTTAAAACTATCATTACATACCCCTGGTTTCTGAATTCTTCAGTTATTTTGTTTTTAAACAAAAAAGATCTTCTAGAAGAGAAAATCATGTATTCCCATCTAATTAGTTACTTTCCAGAATACACAGGTAAGCATTTATCTCAGAACTATGTTCACAATATGGTAAGTCATATTTAGTCAATTTTTCCTCATTAACTTGAGCAAGGAAAATGGAATGATCCGAAATATTTGATATCTGTCCTTCGTTATGCTATCCTTTGAAATACAAACTTAAGTTACTGACTTCTAGCATAGCAGATTTTTCTTTTTTTTTATTGGAACACTTGAGGACTGGGTCTTAAGACACTTCTTGCAGCCCTTCTGTTAGCATTAGAATGGCAAATTCATTTTCCTTTAGTAAGAATTCTTATCCCAATGTGTTCTTACCTTTTTTTGAATTAAATGAGCACAGTACATTTCAAATATTATCATGAGGCGAAACATCTTTTTCACCTAGTCATCTTCAATCTCAAGAGACAAGATATGAGGGAAACCTGGGTAACCTGCTTATTAATCCAACTCTTTATGTGGTAAAAATCCACAGTACAGTTTTGCATTGTGGGTCTATATAAAAGTGCAAAGTTAAAAAGCAGCCTGAATGACTTTTCTCAGCAAATGTTACTGATACTACAGTTTCAAAACAATGAGAGAAATCCCTCTGTTACTTAAAACAGTGTTTTGTACTGGAAGACATGCATGATGCTGAATCCTACAGTTAAGGATGAGAAGAATTACAATACTTTAACAGCTACAGAAAAAACACAGATCTGTGTTTTGGCCAAAGAGAATCCTTTGTGCTATATGTGTTTTAAAAAAATTTGATTTCACTTACAGTCTTTGATAGACTGCAACAATGTAGCAGGCTATAAAAATATGCTCTGTAATTTCAGATGTGTAGGCTGTTGTAGTATTACTTTGAATCGTACAGTTTACTGTTGGAAGACAACAAGCTCCGCAGGTATTAGAAAGTATAATATGCTAAATTTTGTCCCACTAATAAATTAATGAGAAAATACCAGCAGGAAGTATGCCTATATAATTATTCTTTATATCAATATTAAATTAGCCTCTTCAGATACTGCCCTGTGGTTCTCTCCTGATGTATATCTTTTAAATGTTTTAAATGTTCAAAAATACTAATTGTGCTTTTTGACTAGGACCTAAACAAGATGTCAAAGCTGCCAGAGACTTCATTTTGAAGCTGTATCAGGATCAGAATCCAGACAAGGAGAAAGTAATCTATTCCCACTTCACTTGTGCCACAGACACAGAGAACATTCGCTTTGTCTTTGCTGCTGTCAAGGACACGATCCTGCAATTAAACCTGAGGGAGTTCAACCTCGTTTAAAAGGAAAAACATTGTTTGCATCCACAAAGTGTGATTTGCTTATAGCATAGCCTGCATTGATACAAAGAAAATCAGTGTATTTTTAAATACTATTTACAGAAATGTAAGGGGGCGGGGGGAATACATTTACTGAAGAAGTACTGCTTAATCAAAGAGTTTCAAAGTTTACTTTTTTAAGCTCTACATTTAAAATACTATTTTCGTATTTCCCATGCTAGCTTTGGCTGTGAGTTATTTTTTTTCACAGCTATGGAATTAAGTATATTTAAAAGAATATGCGTAAGTACATTGCTGTCCAGCTTAGTTTTTTTTTTTCTACTTATCATTTACAATCATAGCTTATAAAATTTTAGCAAATGATGCCTTACAAATGACAAGTTGGTGTTATTTTAGGGTGCTAAATACTTTTAAATTCTTGTTCTGAGCAATGTAGTTGAAACACTTGAGTAAACATGTTACACTTTTTAGAAGCATCTTGCTGTAGAGTTGATATGCCAAAACCACTAATGTTTTTAGAAACATTATAGAAAATTAATTATTAGCGACCCCTGCATTTTTTTTCCCTTTTTGTTCAAGTGCCTAACAATAATAAAATATCTTCCCCAGTTAACAGAATAACGGATTAAGATCTTTGCAATGTAATTCATTCTTAAGGGGAAAAGCTTATCTAAAACAGCAAGGTGTTCAGTAAACTTTCTTAGTGTTCACTGCCACAGGAAGTACTAGCAGGTCATCCCCAAAGCCTAAAAACCTCCATTAAAGATGCCAGCACTTCAGTCAGTTCTTGCTCACTGTGTCAAAAATTTTTAAACCAGCAGCCTTGAAAACCTTTTTTACACATGCAAGACTCAATGGCAGTCACTGGCACTTGTTCAGCTAACCCAGCAACACTAGTAGTAGAGATTGTTGTAGCAGAACAGTCTTTTTTCACACTCACGCAGCCCAAAAGATGTGGTAAGATTCTCCTGCATATAAATACATTAAAATTTTTTCTCCAAGCAGAATTATAATAGTAATGGTTTTTAATATCAGCATCAAATAATTTCTGAACAGCACAGAATAATTCAAGTTATACTGATTGTCAGTGTGAGCAATGCCTCTGTGTACCATCAGCCAGGTAGATAGCTCTCACAGCTCAATCCTGTGAAAGGTACACCTGGCCTTTCACTGTCCATGAAAAATGTTTAATGATTCACAATTAAACAGCTCAGTTCCCTTTTCTACAGCAGTACAGAAAAATCCAAGTATGACCACAGCTCTTTTTTGGGTCTTAAGAAGAAAAAATGCTCAACCTATAACATCTGACTCACTCACTTGTTAAGCTTGTGCTTTTTAATGTTCGAACAAACTCTTCTAGTAGAAGACTGTTCACACATTCCTTTACAGTTTTTCTGTGAAAGGAAAACACTAACCTATGCCCATGCTCTACTTTTTTTGCTGATTTGACTAAAGGGCCATAATGAACACTGATGCAACAGTACAGTAGTGTGCTATGCCCTGGAATAAGGTACAGTAACACCTGTTGACCTAGGAAAAACCAAGGAGGAGTAACAGGAATCTCGGAATAAAATAGCAAATCTGTGCATGTATCATCCATGCCCATCAGTCATCCTTACTTTCACTGAGAAATGGTGCCATCATTCAAGTCATCCTCATCACATCCTCAGCTGTGCAGTGCAAAAGTAAACACTGTGGCTCAAAAAAAAAAAAAAAAACCAGAAGCATTTCTTGCCATGAAATCTTTACATTACTTCAGAACTTTCCAGTTAAATAGAAAACAAGACAAAAAAAACCTTTTTTTTTCTAGGATAGCCTATTTCATGGAGTAAACAACACATGATATGCTAAAACCCTTGAACTGCCTGATCCAGTTTGGAGCCCGCCCCCTAAGGATTTTTGGGAAAACATCTAAATGCTTCACTGTTTCATATCCAAGTCAAGATTTGTTGTACATCTGAAGAGCACATTGTTAACATAAATTCTGAGTCTGGCTTTGCTGGAGTACAGGCAAGCTTTCCAAAAGGTGAGACTGCCACCATTTTACAGGCCCTGTCAATATGACAAGCATGATTTCTTTCATACTTCACAAGGAACAGTCAAAAATCAATGGAGAGGGCAATTACCGAAAACACTTCTGTACATTATTCTCAATTTGCCTGATACAACAGGAAAGCAAAACTCACAAAGGAAAAAATCTAAGTGAGAACCAGCAAAAACAGAATTCAGTTTTCTCCTTTCTCGCATTCCAAAGTCCTATTACATCATACCTATTCCAGCAGTCAGGTTTCCGTTTCAGCCTCTGATGTGTTTTTTTAGGAGCTAGTTAGTTAATAAATTAAGGGTGTGGACATTTTTTACTCCTTGGAGGAGGCTTTAAAACCATTTACTCTTCCCTTCAATAGTATTATAAGAATATTTACAATTCTTCTTCCAGATTTGCTGTAAAAACAACTTTCAAAACCTCTTCATAAAAATCTTGGGTCTGCTATAAGTAGAATTTCAGATAGTTAGGTTCCTCTTACAGCCACAAAAGCAAAAATTGTGATAAAGATCATGGCTGCATTTCTAGGTCAAATAGCAAAGTTCAAGCTCCTAGGTGATGTATATGTGTACTTACGTGCTTATCCTGACCAACAATTCCTAATTAATCCACCAGTAAGAGTATTAGTAGTCGAATCTTGAGAGTGTAATAGAGTTTTAAGCAGGAAAAAGGTGTCAGTTATCTACTAATATGTTCAATTTTGGACAGAAAAGCATATGGCATTCAAAAATGTCATAACCAAAACATGACAATTAGCTTTTTAAGATAAGATGACGATTAATGCAAATATGTTTTCTGTAAGAAAGCATAAATATTCTTTGTAAAATTTTACTTAATGAGACAGTCATACAAATGAAAAACTAAATATTGATAAAGTCAGAAACAGACTTTGCACCCTATCTGAGACATTCTCAAACACACAATTCCTATCAGCAGTATTTTTCACCTACAGTTCCCCAGTTTCACCTACAGTTTGATAACTCTCTTTTTCTGAAATGTATGATCTTGAGTCCTTGCAGGGCAAGGGAGAAAAAGATGAGATGAGACAAGAGAAGGACGTACTTTCTAGAGCATTGAATTAGATTTCCATAATCTGCATGTTATAGAGGGAAAGACAGCTCCTTCACCCAGTCAGTTCACATTAACACATTTAAACTAAACACAGAACCCACAACTCCTCCTCAATAGAAGTTGCAGTTAACAGGAGACAGCATAATCTTAGAGCCCTCAAGTACTCAATTTACCAAACAGCAGGAAGTCTGCATTACTTCTCTTTTTACCTCACTCGATGTTAAAAAGCACAAATTGACATTATAATCAGAAGACTCTTAATTTATGCAATACAATCTTTTACCCACTTGAATTCAACCAAGTCCACCTTCCATGCAAGTTTTGTGCAGGGACTTCCTATTACGACCGATTCTTGTAGTTTTCTGCAAACAGAAAAAATCCCTCTAACAACATGCAGATAAACTGAATATAGGAAAAAGAAGAAAAAATACTTACTCCGGAATGGACTGTTAGGGACTTCAGCTACGTATAGCCTTTGCTCCTGGGAGAGAAACATTTTTTTGGTATTGGATGCATCTTTAATTCGTGCTATATATGCACTAAGGGTTTGTCAGTTGACAAGGTGAAGGGATCACCTGGCAGAATTTCACCTAATGCTGGAAAAAATTCCTGTGGAAGCGCATGATGTGCTGAAGAAACACTGCAACCTCTTGCCTTGAACTACTCGGAATCACATAAGTACTGTCGTTTTTAAGTAGCTTTTTCTGGAATTCAAATACGGAAGGATCACAAAGGAATAAAAAAAAGCTTCTAAATTGTTTGGTGGAATATTCTACTTATTTTTGAAGTTAATACAGTGCCAGGAAATATATAAAACTCAAATAAGTTATATCTGTTAACATCATATGGCATTGGATGGAGATATTTACAAACAAGCCACAAGATTTAGCAATCCTATGAAGATAGGTGACTGACTTACTGAAATCATTTTACATTTTAGAATTATTTCTTAAGCAACTTGTAGATTGTAGTTCAAATTCAAGAACTATGCTCTTAAGTATTAAATTTTAACTGCCAATACATAGTAATACTAATCTTGTATTGACTAGTGTGTGGCATTTAATTTGTTATTTGCAGATAAATGGTCAAAAATAACTTGAACAAAAGACCTTACAGATTTTTTGAGAAGGAAATGTATTTTGTAAAGTATCAAGGATAATAAATAGCTAATGTCATATTTACAGAACTTTCAGGAAAAAAAGGATTTCAAAAGAATCTGGTGACCTGGCAACATCATCTATGATTTTCAATGCTTTAAGAGAAAAGAAAGTGTTACATTAAAACAAGATTATATGCTAGCCTGAATTTGTGAGTCCACTTCCTATAAGGACAATTTAACTTGTCTTTATAATTAACCAAAAGTAAAGACTAAAGTTTGAATTCTGTTCTCACTGAGCTTGCTACAGCAGAAGGTGGACCTGGTGTTTTCAGAGACAGGATTTGGCTTAATTTGTCAATTTCTGCCTGAAAATTCTGAGTAACGGTAACACCGATTAACAGTAGGATTAAGTAAAACATTCAATTAATGCCATTTATAAAGAATCAAATTATAATTATGTCCAATCAAATAAAATTCAGTTTCACTTTACTGAAGGTGGGGAAAAGGCCTGGGAAAAAATGAAAAGCCATGCAAAGCCATGCAGGTGAGCAAAAAGAGATGCAAACAGCTTGACTTATAAATGTTTTAGTAATGATTCTGACATATTTTACAGTACTTTTCACTAGCTAGTTATCTGCACCCAGCAGAACTATTAGTCATCATCTTTTTGGTTTTTCTTTGCTCTCATAGAGCTAACTCTAACCAGTGAGAAATAACAACCACTACAGAAGCCAAATGACTTTTCTGAAAATAAGTAAATCTAGAAAACAGTCATCTAGAAAAGAAAATATTCTTCAATAAAGGCCACAGTATATTTTTAAACGCTACAGTATACAGACCTAAGTGCTTGCATTTTAATTTTTATTAAGATTCCGTTGTTTAGTTGCATATAAATTATTAATAAAAATTAGAGAGTTCTACTTTCTTGTTGAAAAATGTATATATTCAAATACGGAAGGAGGCAGAGCAGAGCAGATATCTCAAACAATTTGCAGTAATACAGTAAACTCCACGACGGCATGACTGAATACCTTTCACCTCTCCCCAAGCTGGTTATAACCAGGCAAGTTCAATATTGCCAGGGAAAGCCTGTATTTTTTTAATTCGATCTATGTTAAGGGAAGTAAATACAGTGTGCAATGAACCAAAGAATAGAAAGAGCAGAGGTTGTCTACTGAGAATAACAAAATTCATTCATGATTGCATGGAGAGAGCGTAAGGGGAGAAAAAAGGAAACAGATGAAATTTACTGAGTAGAAAAAGGACCTCGAGAAAAACATGTCGTGATTACAAGCTGCAACAAGGGGTGTGGTGGGAAAGTCCTCCACTAATTTTTTAATATTCTGGATCCTGATGGAACCAAGATACTTTCAGGTGCTTTTAGTTCTCATGTTAAGGCTTTTAGTTAGCACACATCAAAATAGTTTATTCTTTGTAGTAAAATAGCAAAACTGGGGGAATTGTTAATTTTTCCACAGCAGGAGCTTAGCCACAGCCATGCACTGCCATTTACAACTGCTCCTTCATAATTAACGGTTAACATTGGTCAATCATTACTGAAGAGCACTTGACAAGATTTGAGAATCAGGAGTTTGTTGGCAAAGTAAATACGAGAAAGATATTAACTGGAGATGATAAGCTCATCAAAACCGAGGCTCTGCAAAGAGAACAAGTATAAAATAGGGTAAAATTGAAAAGTTACCCAAATGGAAACATACAAAATACTTGCAAGAGGAAGCAGAAGTGGAAGTTGCAGCAGCTGAACAGTAAATACTGGGGATAGGAGAGAGGAGGACACAACTAACACCGTATTCAGGAATCAAGATGATGATGAAGCTGTAGGTGCAACAGCTATCATGCCCAAGATGAAAAGTGATAGATTAAAAACAAATTAGAGATGCAGAGTGGTACTCAGCACAGCTAAGGACACTACTTATCTAAGGCAAAGTTTTCTATTATTCTGGCATGATTCTAACCTGAGTTACATTCTTGGTACATGTTTCTTGTACAAACCAGGGGAGGAACACTGTCTTTGCCACAGTTTGGAACTCACTTATCTTTTGATTCAAATTACATCAAAATATCAAAGAGTAAAATTTATGGGAAAATTAAAATATTATATGTATTTTGTAACCAACTAAATGGTTACTCAACAGCAAAGACAAGACAAGCAAATGAAAGAACTACAGTTGTAGGTTAGCATGCCAGTCATTTTAGATTTCATAATAATGCGACAGCTTGCCCCTCTCAAGCACCACCAGCAATTTCAGAAAAATTAAAAGCCATAGGTATAAACATTCCAAACTATGGCTTGGAAAGAATATTTTGGCAGCAGATACTACTATGTGCACCAGATATTTTGCAAACTTTGATATGGGAATTTATTCAAAACTTAATATAACACTCTACTGTTTCCCTTATTTTGTATATCAATTCACCAGTACTGTAATTACTGAATCTAAGAAACAAGCAGTATCCCCCAGCTTCAGGCACTCCCTACTGAAGTTCTGCTTTGTGGAGATGAAACCTAAAAAGTTTTACTGGGTAAGTAATGCTGATAAAAACAACTGTGAAATATTGTATTTATTATTAATATAAATTTGACTCTATTAAACATTTTAGTTTGCTTAGCATGCGATACTATGTAATACAAGGGATATTTTTTTGGTATGCAACAGTGTCCTTAAACCCTAGGACTTCCTCACTGAGTTGGCAAGTCTGTTGATAACTTTTATTTAGAGTAGTAGGGTTTCATTCACATTCCTGGTATAGAGATGTATTAATTTACATATTATATGCTTTTGTAAACTAACGGATTTCTTTGAATATTTCCTTGAGTTGAATATAAAAAACCTTACACTAAAAATGATACTGTGTTGTAAATTCATCATAACACACTGTATTCATTTACAAAAAGAAAAAAAGACATTTGTTAACCAAGCAGCCCCCCTTGCCATTTAGACATTTAAATTAGACTTTTCTGATCAGCAGCATTCTTCTTAAAATTGGAGTTGTAAGACCAGTACCAGTTAAATTCACATTTCTCCAGATGAAGAAATCTGAATTTCAACACAGCATGATGCCTCAAATCATAAAAAAACTGAAGACAGAAACTAAATACTGATTTTCAATTTCTTTTCGGATTTAGATCAATTTATGCTCTGTATAATATCGTAAGAATTATTCCAGAGTGCAATTTCAGTATCAAATGTAAAGAATTGGAGGTAAAACATACTCATTTTATACTGTATTTTGAAAAAATGAAACCTGGCACTCGTAAGTAAAAAAAAATCCAACATGCCAAAAGTTGGCAAATATTTTATCATCATCAGTTTTTTGGTTTTTTGGTTTTTTTTTTTTTTTAAACAGCCATTATTTTTGTGACAATGATTTGAAAGTGATATATCAGTGGAGTGATGCAACAATAATAAATAGTTTTATAAATCCTCCTTCCCTCCTTTTTTTGTTTTTGGTTTTTGCTGGTAATTCAGATAGGTCCGCATGTTAAAGAAGAATTAGAAGGTAACTTGTTTATTCAGTGTTCTTCATGTCTTGGTGCTTCCTTCAGTGGTTACAGTTTTGGCTGATTCTCCCTTACTTCTTCCAGTTTAGAAAGGATCCACTGTATGAGGCAAAAGATAAAAATAAAAATTATTCTTTAGTAATAACCATACAGAGCAACTGAAAATTTGACTGAGATGGGCAAACACTTCACTGTATACTCTCTTCCTAACTGAGTTTTAGCACTGCGCTAGCAATCCTTCTGTAAATAATAAATTCCTAATTTTTGTGCTTGACAAGGGAAACATTTAAATACCAATATCTGACGTGGTGACACTGAAGATCACAGCTAATTAAGTTGACACGGTTGATAGTTCAGTCGGGTGCTCTGCATTCAATGAATGATATTTTATAAAATTACAAGACATCACACATGATCATTATTAATGCTGTGCATTGGTCTAGGACTCAAGGCAAGTTACAGATGAGAGTCTAGAAGCAAGGATAACTAAAGACAACGGACAAGAATAGGTTCCAGCAACATGATAATACAGTTATTCAGAAACAAGTTACTGTCAATTCTATTCAGTTTCTTTTCATGAATTTCAAATTCATGAGTGTGTTAAACATACTGAGAGGGAAATTAGTTCCCGAGAGTTTAGAAAAAATAAAGGGGGCAGTGACACAGAAATCTAAGGTAGGAGATGAAATCTTATAGATAGGGATTGTCATGAGAAAAATAGCTATATATAAACCTTTCAAGAAAGACGAGTGGATTATCACAAATCAGATCCTGTGTTAAAAAGACAGTGGGGTCCTAGATCTGTAGGATCACAAGCACACCCCCAAAGAAATAAGAGCCTGCTTAGCAAGATACTGAAGATTTGAAAGACCTCTTGGCTCTTCAATAAATCACTATATTCAGGCTAGAATATGACACTTCTTATAGAGGCAGAAAATACTTTGTGTATAAATGGTCAAAGTGGGGAAGAGTGTTCACAAAGTGAACAAGAACGTTCACAGGAGTCTCCCTGAAGTGACTTCATACTCTTAACGCTAAAGGGTGCAACTTTCATATTCACTGTTCCTAAAACACTTGCCTCAGCATCCTCTCTCTGTGCACAAACACACATGAAACATTTCTAGGAGTGAGCCATCAATTAGAGGCCCGGAAGGAATTCTCAAAAAAGCCAGAACTGCATGGTAGGAAGGTGCCTTCCTACCTGTACTTTGGAAAAACTTAGTCAAATGTGCTTCACTGGGACAGCATTTTGTGCAGAAGCACTCTCCCAAATTTAGCATACACATGCGATAAGATGTATAGGGGGGTACCACGCAGTGAAATCCCCATAGTCAACTGCAGTTTACTTATAGTCAGTAGGACAGCTCCTACAGGCCACAATGGCCATTTTTGAATAAATCTGGAAAGTACTCCTTCACTAAGACAAAACCAAAATCCACAGCAAGTCCGGCAGTGAGCTTTTCCACTTCATTTTTATTCCTGCTACAGCTGGTTTTCTAAAGCGCATAGGCTTTTCCAGGAAAATAAGCACTCCAAACATTTTTGTGAAAGGTACATACAGCTCCTCTAGTTTTCTTTTCCTTGCATCCCTCTTGGAGATACTCCCATCTTTCCCAGCACCAAAAAAAAAAAATCATTGCAAAAGAGATAACATCAGATTAGGACACAAGAGTATCAAAGTAAGTGATACTGAAGGGGAACTGCTTTCCATCTTGCTCTTAACATCAGGTGTTTGTAAGATGATGTGCTGATTTCTCTTTCTGTCTTTTTCATTTAGCTGTGAGTGAATATGGGATTCACTTTCCACAGTCTCCTGGATCAGGAGAGGAAAAAAACACCAAGAGCTCCATACCTCCAAAGAGTACAGAGAACTAAAAATCAAAAGGTACCACTCAGGTCTAGTTAGAAACTCTCCTTAAGAAGACAAAAGCAACTTCCGAGCAGATGCAGCTTTTGCAGACTATCGCAAAGCTTGATCCTAGGGTATCATATCCCACTAGTGTAAACATATAAAAGCCTGAAAGATTAATTTACTGTTTGTGAGAACAGTAAGTTAGACGAACAACACAGACCTCACACAACTCTGCTCTATCACAGTTCCGGTACCACACGTGAATCAGACCTACTCTGTTCTAGTGAAAACTACAGTGACGTAATGCTGTGAACATGTAGAGATATGTGATGCAAATCAGTATCTACTAGAAAATTTAGTGTTTCTGTTTTTCTAAAATGCTTCTCAAGTGGGATTTTTTTTTTTTTTTCATTCTTCAATCAAAAGTGTATTTTGAGGAACAGAAGAATGAACTCTAGTTATGGAGGAAATATATAAATATCATTCTATTAAAATGTACTATTTACTTCACATTCCTGACTGATTAGTTTCTTCTTAGCTGTTAAATCAGCTGTCTGACAGACAGTTATCATTCCATCAATTTAAGTACGGGAAAATTTGCTGTTGGGATCAACTGTTTCTGAAACTGAGTACTGAACAGATCATTGAAATAACTATCTGTATAATGGCCACATGGCAATACTGAATTTAAATATACATAGCAGTTTCATAAGAATTCTGTTCTAACTGAACTAACTACACAACATTGTCTATATAGGGGAGCACTCTGGCTTGTACTGAAACACTGCATAAATAAAAACAATTACATACTTTCTACTTCCATTCACAAAAGCTTCATATCCATATCTACTAAATCAGTCACCATTATGACTTGCAGAAATAAACAGGTTTATTAACTAACATTTTTGACAGAAGACTAGGAGATTATGTGCATTATATGAACAATAACAATTCTTATAAGCATCTACATGAAAGTGGAAAAGCAGCTGGTATTTCACATTTCTAAATACCAGCTAGCTCGTCTGAAAAGCTGCAGGGTTTAAACCCACAGCCATTAAGACAGTTCACCTCCAGAGGATATAAATCACAAAACATTTTCTTGTCAACACTCATGAGGCTCAAGAACATTACTATTTCAATTCTCTCTAAAGTAAATTTAACATAGTATAGCTAAAGTAAATTTAACATAGTATAGCTTCAATAATATTGTGAATTTACCTTAGCATCCTCTGGAGTTTTAAAATTAATAATTTTCCCAAATTCTTTGGCATGGAACACAGACTTAACTCGTTCCTAAAAAAGTAAAAAAAAAAAAAAAATCAGAAGTGAATCTGGTTTCTTCAAACTTGACGAGTAAGAAGTTATTTACCATTCAGGCAGCTATGGTTCAGAGCACAATGTGTACCAACTACACTAATCTGCATATGTTCAACATGGCGTGCACGCGCACTGAGAAACTTCACTCCTTGCCTGAAGGCACAGTGGAGTGGAACCTCCCAGCACTACCTTTTACCACGGAGTCCCTGGAAAGCAGACTATGAAAATAGACAGGAATGGAAGGCAGATAATGGAATATCTGTATGGGATACGTGTGGGATCACAAAATCCAGTACCCTCTAAGTTAACAATTTTTCATTCTCCTTCAAGTCATTGCCTGTGTGGACATTCCACTAACACTGACTTGCAAGCACTGGCCTTAGGTAGTGAAAATAGCAAGACCACAGGCCCTGCTTTGCCAAATACAGTTTTCAGCCTCAGATTTTGTTCAGTAAAGAGCATACTACAGACACGTGAACTCTCAAACTGTTGCTCTACAGAGGTTAAAATAAAAATGTTATTCAGTGTTGCCTCAAACGGCAGAAACTAACAATCACGGTAGGATTTCCTCTTGTAAAAGTTTACACGCAGTCAGAAAACCAGCTTGGGGTATTCCAAACCAAATACTGCTTTGCCTTTCATGCTCTCTGCAATAGAAATAAAAAACCTGAGTAAAAAACTGAATGACTTTGTTCCTTGCAGGTACAACGTCAAGACTGCCCTGACATCCAAGATGTGTAATTACGCATGTGAATCTTATAAACTAAAAAAAAAAAAAAAAAAAAAAAAAGAGAAAAACGCTGGCAGGTAAATTTATGGATTCAAAGGCAATTCAGTCACCATCTTGACCAGAATTTAATTTTAGTTCTTTAGGAACTTTGACTTTATAAGCAGGCTCTGATATCAGTGCTTGGCTTGCTCCTTTCTCCTTTGCAAAAATACCAGGGAAAGGAGGATTTTTGGTTTTGACTTTTAATGAAGAGCGGCAACCAAAAACCAACATTTCTCAGCTTGAACTGAGAGGAATAAGGGTATCCCATTATGTTCTTTTTTAATGATATAAATACCCCATTATACTTCTGAAAAACTTTTTCATTGGCAGGGGGGAAAAGAATTCCTTGAACCATACTGTATGCAAAGAGAATGAGCAAATATATTTGAAACTTTAGGATGACAATAATTTTGCCTATTTTTGCATGCTGACTTTCAATTTCAGGCAGAGCACGTGATGGAAGTATACTGTGACCCTCTGACAAGAAAGAGCTTTGCTGCATCACTATTTTCCAAATTATGAATATACCACAAAGTGGTGCATATAGAAAAAAAAATTGGCTCAAAATGGCATTCTGCTCAAAATGGTCAGAGGCAAGTTATCTCAGGAGTTTTCTAATACCAAATTTCAGCTCCCTTTCTCAAATGCATTTCAGCTAGAAGAGGGGTCAGGAATTCAGAGCTCAAGATTACAAACAGCAACACAGAAGAGAACAAAACGCGACAAGGTTAACATACCTTGGCTTCAATGCGTAATCGTCTGCCATCAACAATGAATGGCTCTTTGGTAAATTCATCGTAAGTGTATTGCCATTCACACGTCAGCTGTCCAAACGTACCTTTTGTCACA